ATTCCGGAACCTTTCTCAGCTCAAGGAACTTTATCTCGGCTACAATCAGATTTCTGGTACCATTCCTTCCTCTGTGTTTGAATCCTTACGTTCACTTACTGAACTTAGTCTTTCAGGGAACATATTGTCTGGGCCAATTCCAGAGTCAATTGATACCTCGTCCTTGCTAACAATGATTTATCTTGATGGAAATAATCTTTCTGGTCCTTTACCTTCAAGCATAGGCAAGCTTAAGCACCTTACATTTCTGTCCCTCGGCGAAAATCAAATCACAGGCAGCATTCCGTCTTCCTTTTCCGGGCTGAGCTCTCTGGAGTACTGCTTTTTAGGTAACAACAAGTTAACGGGTAGCTTGCCACTGTCTATCGGAACGCTCTCAAATACAAAAGGGCTATATCTTCAAAATAACAGGCTCACCGGACAACTGCCTGCAACAATTGGCAATCTCGTTAATCTTACTGATTTGTTGCTTGTACGGAACAAGCTAAGCGGTGCCATCCCAGGAAATCTATTGAATTTAACAGCATTGACTTACTTTGATGTTTCAAATAACAATCTAAGTGGCATGATTCCTCCACACACAGCCAATATTCCCGCATCTGCATTCAAAAATAATTCTGGCTTGTGTGGTGCTCCTCTTCCTCCTTGCTAGCATGCTTAAAATATTTCCTTATAGAGTTCAAAATATCTTCCTAGGGATTCACTGTAAGTGAAAGAAACACTCACCTCCAAAAGAATTCCTTGTTTCTATTTTTCATTTAATTGAAGAAAAAGGGGTGTTCCTGGTGTCACTCACATGTTGGATTATATCTTATATTGCTTTGACCTTTTTTTTCTTCTTCAATTGAATTATCTTGTTTTAATTACAATGCAGTAGTCCCACCGCTTCCCTTAACCACCTATCCACACTATGTAGTATATGTAATACAATATTACTGGTCGATCCGCAGAATGAAAGAAGTGGGTCAGGTAAAAAAATGTGGAAACCAAAAGAATTATATTTTTCTTCTTTTGTTTTCCTTGTAACATTCAACTGATATTGCCAACTACATGTTTCCTAGCAGTAGATTAATATATAGGACAGTGTATGAGTGAATTTTATATGGAATTGCTACTACCAGAAAACTTGTATCATCT